CCCCCCACCCCCCCGCTCCCGCCCTGACAGATTTACAGTACACGCTCACAAACTATAAAATATGGTGAAATTCACCAAAGGGCTGTCATGTGATTGGCCGCTTCTGTGACGGGCGCTCCGGCTCGAATTCACACAAATCAAAAATAGATGCAGTGAAAGCAGATGGTGGGAAGGACGGCACCGCCTAAATACCCATGATTCTCTCTCTCGCTCTCTCTCTCTCTCTCTCACACACACCGTGTCACCCTCCCATCTCTGAGAAAAGAGGTCAACATGGCCTCCTGGAGTCATGTGACCCCTCCCCCACCAACTTAAGGCATTTTTGAAATATTTTCAATATTTTTCGCCTGTGCATCTCTCTCACACACACACACACACACCGTGTTCGTGTGACGGCGCCCACGTTGGTCTCCTCTCTCTCTCTCTCTCTCTCCTCCACCTGTGGACTGAGCTGTGTGTGTGTGTGTGTGTTGATGAGAGTCAGTCAACTGAAACATCTGTCATAAACCATCGCTCCTCTCTCTCCACATCGCTGATTAGTGATTTCCAATATTTCCCAGAATTCCACTCAAGAGAGGGGGGGGGGGCAGATGTGTGTTATATTTGCTGCAGTGGGTCGTCAGGCTGAAAAATGTCAGCTGACCAAAACTGTGAACACAAATATATAAAGAAGCAAACAGATATATATTTATTTATTAATGTTTGATTTTTTTTTATTATTTGTTTTTAATTTGTAGGAATGATTTGGTTCAAATTAAATCAGCGGTCGACCTCACGTCCTGCACTAAATCATTGATTTTACTTCATGCTACACATCAGTTACTGCAGTTCAGTCAAACACTGAATCATGTGATGGATTAAATACTGTAAAATCACCAGAACATTTACAGTGGATTTTCTCTGCTCTGGATCTGTCACTCACATCTGCGTCAGACATGACCTGACAAATCAAAAAAAAAAAAAAAAAAAATTCTCATAATTCACTAAATCATCGAGCTGGTGTTCATAACTGAAACCTAGTGACAAAGTCCTGTGAAAGCGCCACCAAATATAAAGGTAAAAAGTCTCTCTCTCAGCTGGTCTCCAGGTTTGAGCTTCAGTTTTTTAGCTCCAGTTTTTTCGACTCCAAATAAACAACTAAGAAACTCGTGTTGGTGCAGCAGAAATCCTCACTCACAACATGTAACTGTGTGTGTGTGTGTAATAACGTGTGTGCAGACTCAGGTTGCTAGGTGACAACGACCTGATCAATTATAGAGAGTGCATGTAAATTTACCAGGGTTCCAGGTAAAGATTCATGTATAGATCATCAAGGTCTCTCTCTCTCTCTCTCTCTCCCTCACACACACAAAGAGAGAGAAAACACGGTGGGTCTGGAGGTAATTGGCATTTTCCCAAGAACATTGTAAGTGGCGCAGTCACAGGGTTCAGGCTGAGCTGACCTTTGACCCCCCTCTTTACAGGGAGAGGAAGCGACAGAGGAAGAGCATAATAGACTGACCATTTATCTGTGCTGCGATTGGACGAGACACAAAAGTGATATGTGATCTGTCGTATGAGAGAGAGCACAGCTTGTGCCCCCCCCTCGACACCCT